TGTAGGGTAACTACCTGCTCAGTTGTGGCACTGACAGTCCCATGTTCTAGAAATCACTGGTCCCAGGCAAACTAGACAGTTTGGGTAAATCTGGGGTTAAATGGTTGGTATCAGTTGAGGACGGAAACTGTTTAGAGATGTAAGAATGGATAAAGCCAGTAGACACTGCTTTGGAGTGCTGTGTCTGGGCTTGAACCTGACTCCACTACCTCCATTGTCGTTTTAGGCAGATCACTTCCCAGGAACTGTGGGAAATCCCAGAAAGCAGAGTGTTTCCTGCTTGGCAGATACTAGCTCTGTCTCATACTTGTTAGCCCCTTCCTGTCTGCACACAGATAATGTTGAGAAAGGGAGGACCAAGTGCCAGGACCAGAACCAGGTGCCAGAGATGCTGACTGAAGGCTCAGGTTCCTTGCCTTCCTGAACTCAGCCTTGTGCCATCTTGGCTACAGCATGGAAGAGGCGCTTTAGGAATGTTTCTCTAGGACTTCTGCCTGGGCACCCACACATGCTGCTTTTGGGACATTGAGGGGAGAGTATACTGAGTCCCTACAGAACAGCCAGTCCCCCTCCCTTTTGGTTGCTAGTGACCATAATATCTTTGGACCTTAATTTATTGTGAAATAGCAACAGTAATGATTTCTACCTAATAAGTTGTTTAGAGGCTTGAGATCATTTCTGCTAGCACTTAGCAGAGACTCTTCCATAGAGGAAACAAGAAGTGGAGGGAACAGGATGGTTCCATTCTCTACATGGCAGAGGGTATTGGAGACCATCTCATCTCCTTTGTTCCTTTCCCCAGTCTTGAGCATGCTAGGGAGAGGTCCACATTTCACTGCTGTGCCTGTGCTTGGGCTCTGCTGGCTAAATAAATAGTAGGTGCCTAGCAATATTGACTTATGATCTGATGATGGTATTGATGACAGGACCTATCTTCCAGGATTAGTAAGCATAAAATAAGAAAATGAATGGAAAGGACAAAAGTCTAACACTTGATAATGTCCCTCCACTGTCCATTGTTTGCTCAGGTGTCATTTGTTTCTACTTACTAACTAGTTCAAGCACTTCTCCAAGGTACAAATTACTTATCTCTTAAGTCCCACTTTGTCTAACACAGTAGCCCCCCTAGAAGATTAATTGAATGTGAGTGGCATAGGAAAACAAAGGAATTATTGGGTTATTCTTAAGAGCCAGAAGGAGGGCTTATAAATACAGACTGGGTCTTCCTTCCTCTAGGACAGAAGCTCTCATCTGTCCCTGAAAGAAAGATAAAACAAACAACTCTCTTCTTTCTGGTAGAATAATGAAATTGGGCAAAAGGAAAGGACGAGGGGCAGGGATGATGTTGTTATGATCTGAGAGCAGCTAGAGTAGACGCTAGCACCTAGGCACGTCTTCACAGACCCTTGGGCTGGAGTTGATACCATCTGCTTATAGTACTGGAGTGCTGTCTTTGTGCATTAACAGTCAAGGAAATATTTGCATGGCTTAGGCACACCTGATTCGTAGCTGTGCCATTGTGCTGCATAGGGCTCCTCTCCATGACTGTGCTGTATGGACTGGTGCTGTGGGGCGTGGGCTTGCTGAATAGTATGGGAAGGAGGGAAGTATCTAGTGACATCTTCCTTATCTGATCCCTCAGAGTGTCTTCTTTTGTAAATTTTATTTGTAATTATGTGCGAGTATGTCTGGGTGTATACATGTAAGTACAGGCTCCCTGATAGGTTAGAGGCTTTGGGTCCCCTGGAAGTTAGTTATAGGTGGATGTGAGCCACCTGACATTGGTGCTGGGAGCTAAACTCGGGTTTTTTGCAAGAGCAGCATATGCTTTTAACAACTGAGTCATCTCTCTAGCTCCATTTAAAACTTATTTTTTAAAAAGATTTTGAAAGAGTCTTCTGTCACAAGCTCCTCTTTGCATTTCAGTGATTCAAAAGAATAGGTCATGTGCAGTCATGTGGTTACAGCTCCTGATGCTGCTGAGGAAAGACTCCAGAGGAGCCATGTTGTGTATCTCTCTCGTGAATCCCCCTTGATTTTTGAGGAATAAGCCTGGCTGATGAACCGACACTCTGTGTCCTGAGTGTCTGAGACATTTTCTTTCTTTCTTTTCTTTTCCCCCATGGAGCTGAGACAGGTCTCAGGAGGGTGTCACTGAATTTGGTCTCTAGCTCCATGTCCCTGTGAGTGAAGGAACTGGCAGCAGGACAGTTTGAATGCTGAGCTGCAGAGCCTGCTGAGAAAGCTTATTCAGTTCTGGTCAGAGCAAGAGCTGAAGCACATTCTGTTTTATAATACTAATGAAATTCCAGATCTGTAATAGCATTTCAGATATCTAAAACAAACCGTGTGCTTGTAAAAAAGTGGAAAGAGATCAACTTTAACCCATACATTCTTGGTAATAGAGGTTCCCCCCCCCCATTTATGTTTGATAGATATTTTTGTTTCCAGAGGAATGTCAACTCCTAATTTCATAATGTATCACAGGCTTAAGAAAATTGAATTTAATAAAAGCCAAAGATGAATGGCATCCTTAAAGGTCCCAACACTTGTCTTTATTAAGCAGGACAAACTGCAGGTCTCCAAACACTGTTTCTTTCCAAATGAAAGTTTAAATGAAAAGTACAGTTGTGTCACAGGTTAAATCTCATTGCGGGCCTAGCTAACATTGTTAGTGAGGGGCCGACTCTCTCTGTTTTGTAAGATACCAGGCCAGCCAAACTCACCAGGCTGTGGAGCTCTTTCTATTGGGGGAGTATTTCTCCTACTTAGCAGGAGAAGGAGGATTTACTACAAATTCAGGGGTCACAGAGGGCCTGACTCATGAGCCACAGCTCAGGGCTGACTCTTGGGAATTGTGGATATGTGAATTTTTAGGAACAGCAGTATGTATGGTGTATGTACTCAACTTAGTTTCTGGGGCAAAGCTCCCCTCTGCTTTGCCTGCTTTGTGGTCCTTTGTGGGAACAAAGGCCTAGCCAGTTGGAGAATGACCCTTCACTCCACTGGGAGAAGTGTCTCTCATCTGTCCTAGGCAGCAGTCCAGGCCTTTTTGCCCTTGCCTTGCATCCATTAAGCTCTTCTCGTGTCTTGGTCATAAGTTCCCTTCGGTTTCTTCATCTCTGGGACTCAGCCCAGGGGACTAGGCAAGCTCCCTTCAGCTTCCCCATCTTTGGGCATCAGCCTAGGGCAATGGTTTACAACCTTTGGGTCATGACCCCTCAGGGGGTCTATCGACTCTTTCATAGAGGTAGCCTAAGACCATTGGAAAACACAGATATTTACATTATGATTTGTAACAGTAGCAAAATTACAGTTATGAAGTAGAATGTAAATAATTTTGTGGTTGGCGATCACCACAGCATGAAGAACTGTATTAAAGGGTCACAGCATTAGGCAAGTTGAGGACCACTGACCTAGAGGAACTAGGCAGTCAGGACCTTTAAATTTCTCTGCTATGAAATCTAACTGCCTTGATTTGTTTTTCAGCCTTACTGTTACATTTTGAGTTTGAAAATAAAATAAGTCCAGCCAGGAATTGCTGGCATACACCTTTTATCCCAGCAAGATGTCTGAGTTCGAGGCCAGCCTGGTCTACAGAGTGAGTTCCAGGATAGCCCGGGTTACACAGAAGACCATAATATTAGTGAATCTATTTCTCAAGGGTGGTAGTTGTATTTTTTGGGATGTGCAGGCAATTGACAACTTTCTGTTTTCCCACCCACTGATTCACTGAGTGGGGTCAGTACTCAGCAGTGGTGAGTTCTGTATTGTGTCTCTAGGCAGTCTCTGCAGAGAACTAGTTTGCCTTGGTTTTGATGATGCCGGAAGGATGTTCTCTGGAACGAGGGTTCTGGGGTACGTCTGCCCCTGGAGCTGATGGTTGGGGCCTTTGTATGGGCAAAACTACTTTCTTGTCTCTGCAGTGAAGGCTTTTTTCACATGCTAATTTTACTTGGAAGGTTTTGCTTTTATTTATTTTTTTATTATTTCCTATTTGTCTCTTCCAGATGTTTTCAGGGCAGTTTTTTTTGTGTGTGGGTGTTGTAAACTAATTCCATTCATGTTTTAAAAATTTATGAAAGCGCTAATAAAAATGTCAAAGTGGTAAAAATGTTAGCTTTTCCTCTGCTTTGATTAAATTTTGCAAACTGTTTTTGAATATTAAAAAGCAATATATTTTTTTATTCTCTCCCCTTGGTTTCCCTCTTCTTTCTGGTGCGCGTGCTCTCTCCTGCCCTCTCCCCCTCTGGAGCATCCCTCCCTTTCCAGAAACGATGTATGAGGCGTGCTGCACAGCCAGCGTTCTGCAAGCCTGTTTGCACACCAGGACCTTGGTGCTGTGCATCTCTATTAAATAACGGAGACAAATTAATCTTAGAGACACCAAACAAATTGTCACTCCTCCTCCTTCTCTTCCATTACCTTCCAGCGGACTGGGAAGGGCTTGCTAAGCGGTTGGGCGGGTAGGGGCAGGCGAAGGGGAGTATGCAGAGCTTGAAGGAAAGGTGGGAGACACTGGCCTCTATTCACTTGTGTTCTGTTTTCTCCTTCTCTCTGATAGCCTCTTTGGCTTTATTTGGGGGGCTTGTTTTGTTTTTTTTTTTTTTTTTTGTTCTTCAAAAACTAATGAAGACACCCCTCTCACACACACCCCAGCAATGTTTAAGCTTCATACTAGAAAATCTGTGTCTGTTCTGGTGACTGCTTACTTACCTAGAGAGCCAGACCTTTTAGAACAGCAGCCTGGGTAAGAGAGGAAAGGCCTTTCTTTCTTGTAGAGGCTCAAATGATGGGCCCCTGTTAGGGAAACTGGCAGGCAGATTATACTACTGTCTTCCTTCCTAAAAACTGTGGGGAGGCTTGTTGACATCCCCTCTTCTAATGCTCGGTGTGGGCTGCAGGAAGAATGAACTATTCTTTCTCGGTCTGATATAGTTATTTGAAATGGTTGATCATAAGCATGACTTACCTTCTCTTCTGTTTCTTTGGTATTCTAGGAAATCATTGAGTTCCCCATCCTGAAGTTAAATGGCCGTACAATGGAAATCGAGTCTACCTTTCACATGTATGTCCAGCCTGTAGTCCACCCACAGCTTACCCCCTTCTGTACAGAGGTAAGGCTGCTGGGAGAGGAGCTCTGGGATTGTTGGTTCATGCAGGCCACTCAGGGAAAGCTAGATCAGACCAGCGGTTAAGGCAAGAACCCAGCAATGGTTTCTTTAGTCTGTGACTACTTGAGTATATGTCCCCAGTGATACTGTTTACCCCAGACTTTCCAACATTTCCCTTTCTTCTTATCCCCAACATTCCTGGCAACTTGACCTTGGAGTGTATCTCTGAGTAGTATGGAACTCAGGCTCTTTCCTGTTCCATTTTCAGTAGGGCCTGTTGGGAAGAGTGAGGATTTCAGCCACATTGTTATACTCAGTCGTTCTGACTGATGGTGATGTTGCTCTGTCCTACTGCAAAGTAAAGCACAACTCTCCCACCAAGGACAGAGAAGACAGGTTGTCCAAGGCTCAAATGCCCTTGTCTAGTCTACATTGTCTGAAGTTTAGCAGACCCCATTTTGCAGACTGCAAAAATGGAGCTGAAATTTTGATGCCTACTTGAGGTTTAGAAAAGTTCTCAGCAGAGAGAGGAGCCTGGGAGGGCCGACTCCCAGAATGGTCAGAAAGAATGAGAAGTTTTCAGTGGCTACTTTCCCTGTAATGTGCCATGCCATGCATTCTGTGGTGGAATCACTGGTCAGGCATGCATGGGAGCAGAGGTGACGGAAAACATTAATTTGGAGCTGAGATATACTGAGCCTTTGTGCCTTCATATAAAGGCACTTCACTTTCTACGCATAAGTGAAATAGGGGAAAGAAGTACTTAAGGGATCCCAACAGTTTTGTTGGTTTTGTGGAAGAGGCTGGGGAATGGCCTGCTAGCTATAGTGGGCAATTCAGTGGGCCCTGAGGCTGACTAGCCCAGATACTCCAGAGCTGCTTCTGATCTCATAGCCAGTGTTTACCATCTGGCCAAAGTGGGCCTTTTATGCCATACAGCCATCTGTCCAGGTGTCCAGTCTCCTAAGCCTTTCTTTCATTCTAGCTCATGATGTTGAAGCTTTCCCTCATTTTCTCCCTTCCCCCTGGAAATTGCCTCTCCCACTAGGGCGAGGGGCTAATTGGCCCTTTGCTTCCTTTTAGAAAAGTCATCTTTCAACAGTGAAAGGTTACACTAGCCACCCAACAGCCTGGAAGCCATGCCAAGCCCTCTTCCTATCTGGTTAACTTAGTTTCGGGGAACAAATGATATGGGGATATTTAGGCTGGTGTGGCGCTCTGAGGCTACACTGCCTGGTGTAAACCAGAGGCCTAGATCTTGGAGTGTTTGCTGCCTGTTCAGGAATGGCAGAATGCTGCTGGTGCCGGCCTTTGACAAGGGTAGGTGCTCCAGAACCTGGGGATGGAAGGCCAGAGAGCATCATCCTCCAGTGCAGTTTCTGGTGCACTTTGTGAGACTACAAGGAAAGCCTGTTTTTCTTCTTGATAGTTTTACCAAGAACATTCATGATTGGAAGGTGATGGGAGTGGTGTTGGGCACAGCTGTTTTGAAGACAAAGATCTGGTTGTGAGAACTCAGTGCTCTCCAGACTCCTAGTTCCCGCTCTGTCCCCACCTGTTGCAGTGTGTACTCTGTTCTTGTGCTCCAGACCTGCTTAGGTGGCGTCCTTCCTTGGTACACAGCCTGGATTGTGCTTATCCCAAAATCATATTGATAGCTTGTATTTTGATTATTTATCTGTTTTGCTACTCAATAATGCATTTCTAGAGTGCCGATCCATTTCTGTCCCATTATGAGGCTTAATACCATGTGTGCTCCATAAAACAAGGGAGATGTCTGCTTCCTCTAAAGTTGCTGTAATGCTGTTGACTTGGCCTTTTTATTTATTATTATTGTTATTATTAGTTTTTTTCCAGACAGGGTTTCTCTGTGTGGCTTTGGAGCCTGTCCTGGAACTTGCTTTGTAGACCAGGCTGACCTCAAACTCGCAGAGATCCTCCAGCCTCTGCCTCCCAAGTGCTGGGATTAAAGGTGTATGCTACCACCACCTGGCCAACTTGGCCTTAAATATATATATATATATATATATATATATATATATATA